AAAGATCTCCTGGATACATCTTTATCGAAAAGGAAATCATTAGAATGTAGCTTGTTTTGTGTAAGTCGTGAAAAGAACTGTATAAGAGGGAAAGAGGGATGGGTATGTATGCTTATATTTCATGTAGACAAAATGAATAGCATATAAGAATGAAAAGAAAAAGTTACACAGAGGTGCCTGTGGTGAAAACAAACAGGGTTGGAAATGAGACCTCAGTGTTTGATTTTTCATAGAAGTTTCACTTTTCTTTTGAGACAGTGTATTATGTAGCACAGGCTGGCCTCCAATTTACTATGTAGCTGAGGATGACCTTGAATTCCGGATCCTCCTGCCTCTACTCCTCAAGTACTGAGGATTACAGACATGTACTAACATGCCTGACTTAATTTTAACTTTTCAATCATAGAAACATATAATCTATTCTAATGATGATTGCACAGGATGGCACAGCAGCACATCCTTGTAACCTCCAGGAACATGGGAAAGGTGAGGCAGGAGGATCACAAGTTTGAGACCAGCCTATACAGTGAGTTCAAGGTCAGGCTATATTACACAGCGATACTCTTTCTCAAAAATAAAGTAAAATAAAGGCCAGTGTGGTGTCCTATGCCTTTAATTCCAGGAGAAGAGACAGGGAAGCAGAGACAGGCAGATCACTGTGAGTTCTAAGAGAACTTGGTCTTCAAAGCATGTTCTAAGTCACCCAGGGCTATGTAGTGGGTCCCTGTCTCAAAAGAAACTAAATATAATTAATTAATAATTTAAAAATTAAAGTAAAATTCATGACAAGAAAGAAACTATGAAGGAAATAGACCCTTTTCTCCCCAAGTTGTTTTGGTCAGAGTGGTTTATCACAGCAGCGGAAAAAGTAACTAGAACCTGTAAAGACTCAGAAGCACATGACAGATGAGATCCAGTCACCTCATCTTGATATCCGCAATGCTTGGAATATGTCCTCTCTAAAATTCAGGTATCAACAATGTGAAAGTATTAGAAAGAGGGGCTATTGGGGGATGATTAGGCCAGGAGCGTTCCTCTCCAAGAATGACATTAGGCCCCTCTGGAAGAGGCGTTAGGAAGTAGTCAGCCCTTTTTCTTCTATCTTCTCATGTGAAAGAGCTGCAAGAAAGGCATAACTATTTGCACTTGCCTTGATCATGGACTTCCCAGGCTCTAGTTCATTGAACAATCAATTTCTATTCTAAAATTTCCAGTCTTAGATAGTCTGTTATAGTAGTTCATGAAGGCTAGCATCTAAGACTACATTCTAAATATCTAATGAATAATTTGTAAGTCTTCAAGTTCATCCTTTAGTCAGACTTCTTTTATTGTTTTCCCTAACATTCCTATAATCCCTCAGCCTTACACACACACACACACAAACACACACACACGCACGCACGCACGCGCGCATGCACCTCTTATGTTTTTATCGCCTCAGATTTTACTCAAGTGGAAACTCCTCCTCTCCTGTGTTATTCAAAATCCTACGCACTTTTCAAATCAAGATTAGCCCCACTTCCTCTATAAAGATTTTTCTAACTCTTTCTCCAGGTGTGGGCCTCAGACAGCTTGCAGTAATATCACCTAAGAGAGTTGTTATCAATTTGAATTTTTGGTTACCCCCAAGATTTTGTTTCTTGCAAATGAATCCTTGGCTCTCACCTTACTGCTCGTGAAACATAACTGTTGGAATTGAGGCACAGGAATTTGCATAAAGCGATTTGAGAGCCACTTCTATCTGCTAACTTTGAAGAAAACTCTCTCTTTTCCAAAGTTCATTTCTCTTTCCAGTTGAGCTCTGAGACTAGTTGGCTTCAGGATCAGGTTTATAGCTGTTCCAGAAGAGGCTTTGTTCTCTTTCATTGTTTTAACTGAATAAGGAGGTCTTGTACATTTAGAACATAAGAGGGCTTCAGGCATCAAAGGCAAGTCCTTTCAAATTATCCTTGTTGAAACTGACTTGAACCCATACTGTGAAACCATGCTCCAAGGTCAAAGGCAAAGCAAGCTGTGTAGGACCTGAGCCAGTGGTGTGAATTGAGGGTTAGGGGCACAGTGGGCCTACTTGTCAGGGGTGAAAATGTTTACCAGTCCCTAGGTTCCTGCAGAGAGGGCTGAAAGTGAAAACTAGCCCTTGTTTTTAGTAGAGTGGAAGAGAACTAGAATTCTGGCTTTTCTTCTTTTCCCATCAGGAAAAGGGAAAGATGATTTAGGGTATTAGGGTAGATAATGAGGCAGTAGTATAAGTAGAATGTTCTCAAGTCTACCTTCTACCTCTGTTAACTGGACAAGTAGCTTGAGTAAGTTCTCAGGAACACCAGCCCTTTCTTAGAAAACAAGAGGAGGGGCCCTACCAGTTTTGTCTAGCTGGGGTTTGGTGTTCCCTCTTTCTGCCTAGTGAGGGCCTCACTGCCTTTAGAAATTGGATCCTGTGTGTGTGTGTGACCAATTAGTATCACCAGCTTCATCTTGGATTGGACAAAAAGAAATCCCAGATGGAAGTAATTGCCTTCACAACCCCTTGTATTTATAGAACGCCTTTTCCAGAAAGCTGAAAGCACAGCCCCGTATGGCATAACATAGTTTGTTCCTGTACTGTCTCCATGTGCTTAGTTAAGAGACAGTGTTTATAATTATTTGACATTTGGAGGATGGAGAAGGTTTGCGAGTTGAAAAGGTCACATATCATTCGCAGCAGAATTGGGAAGGAGAGATGCATTACTGTTTCTATTACTGTTAGTTATTTCCAAACTGAGGTCCACAAATCAATGCTGGGAAGGCTTCAGAAAGATAAAACTTCCTGGACCTCTTCTTCTAAAGATTCCAACTCATCAGGTATAGGTTGGGCTTGGGAATCTATTCTTTATCAATATGCCAGATACTATGATTATGCAGTCAGAGTTAGGAACCAGTATTAGGAGCTATGACAATTGCACGGCCACCTCACCCTCTTCCAGGAACATCTTGGACTGGAACATGCCTTGTAATGTCTTTTATTGCTTGCTTCCCACTCTCTAACTTCTAGGCCTCCCAGCTCAGGCCAAGAAACATGCTGAGTTGGCTAAGAACACACTGTTGACCTGGAAGAGAAACACAACCTCAGATGCAGAGAAAAAGGAAATCCTGGATGCTGTGGTCATGGTCTACTACACTCTGGGCATGGCCTGGCTCCTGCAGAACCAATATCCTTTCTTTCCCAAGTGGATTCGGTGATTGAGGTTATAGGCCATATGCCATGCGCCAGATGGATCATCCCATATCTGGGAGGGTGGGAAATAAAACTAGGTCCTTTTTAGCTGTGCTCCAACATCTGGGCACTCCATAAAGTACTTGTCTCCATCAAAGAACATTTTCTCTCTGTGTCTCTTGGTATAAACCCAGACTTGAGCCATATGAGTGCTGTCAAAACAACTCACCTCAAAGCCAACTGAAGTGTTCTAAGTCTAGTCTGCTCTCCATGGAACACTCAAGAAAATCAGTGTTCACAGTGCAATGGAAGTGGTGGTGGTAGCAGTATAGGAACGGAAAGAATGAGTGGTAATTTAAATCTGTTTACTAAATAACCCACCCACCAGTTGTAATTCCCTGGGGAACTTTAAGAATAAATGTCAAATGGCTTCCTCCCCAGAGATTTTTATTTACTAGGTCTAGGTTATATCTGTTCATTGAGATGTTTGAAAGCCACTCGGGTGATTGTAATATAGAGCCAGCATCCAGCAAATTAATGGGTCCTTGATCATTTTAGCATATTTTGATGCTATTGAGAATATTTCACTGTAACTCCAGTTCCAGGTGAACCAATGCCCTCTTCTGGCTTCCATGGGCATTGCACACACATGCAGAAACCCACACACACACAAAAAACAAAAAAAAAAAAAAAAAAAATGACCGAAGAAGTCCTCATATCTCCAGAAAGGGAGATTGGAATGTTCCCACATCACCTGAGATACTTAACTTAGAAAGAGAAAGGGTTTATTTTGGCTCTTTGTTTTAGAGGTTCCATTCCATGATCTGTTGGTCTTTTTGCTTTTGGCCATAGCAAGGCAGAACATCATGGCAGGAGTGCTTAATGGAGCAGAACCACTTACCCCAAAGAAACAAAGAGAAAGGGGCTGGAGTCCCATCCAGGGCATCTCCCAATGACCTCCCACCACATTGCACTTTTTTAAGGTCCCACCATCTCCCAATGGTGTCAACACTAGCTTATAGGCTCTTGCCACACAGACCTTTGGTAGGCACTTAAGACCCCCAAAATATCAATGTGTCATCTCAAGAAACTTGTGAGCTGGCCAGGGTGGGACACACCTTTAATCCCAACATTTTGGAGGCAGAGGCAAGTGAATCTCTGTGTGTTCAAGGCCATCCTGGTCTACATAGCAAGTTTCAAGCCAACCAGGACTACATAGTGAGACCCTGTCTCAAAAAAAAAAACAAAGCAAAACAAAAAATTCCCCCCAAACCTACTACAAACAACAAAAAAGAAACTTGTGATTTTAATCTTTTGATATCTCACTTGGAAGACAGAATAAGCCTAAGCACTCTGAGCTCACATACCCACCCCTCTACTATTTTGGTTCTGTTGCTCAGCTTGCAAAATACAGTATGTGGTCTTTGGCTTTTGTACCCTTAATGGGGGGAGAATGGAAATGTGGGAAATGGAGGATGTTTGGGAATTAAGGGGATTTTCTTTCCTGTTGTTCGCCTCTGGCTAAAAACCTGCTTCTCTTGGATTTTCTAAATAACCCAAAAGTCCCTTTTAGCATGATTAGTTCCTCTCTTTCCCCATTGCTATGAAACAATTTGGGAAACATGAATAACTGTTGTCATGCAGTAGATGTCTCTAAAGGAAATCTCGTCTAATTTACAGTTTCCGTTCCTGCAAACCCTCACTACCCACTCCAGACCTGGATTCAGGCAGCCACCACAGGAAACCCAAGGCTTTGTTCTTTTTCAGAGAATTTGTCCTTCTTGACACATGGAAAGTAAAGTACACAATTAATACTGCTTTGTTTTCCAAAGGGCTCCTTCTGTTAGCATATTGGCTGCTGTCTCTGTTCAGTGACAGTGTGCTTGGCATTTGCCTTGACTGTTTCACTGGAAAACAGGCCTATATCCATCTTCAGAAGGCAGCCAGAAACATGAAGGAACTGAAAGAATTGAATAATGGAGGAGTTTGTGGAGTCCAAGTTTCAGAGAAAGACCTAACCATTGCTTTGGGCAGGTAAGACGTAGCTATAGAGAACTGACACCTTTATGAATGAGGCCAGGCTGGTATGAATGTACCTGCTGTATATGTGGAGAAAACTACTCAGAGCAAGAATCCAAGGAGCTCAACTGGTAATAACAGAGGCTCGTAATTATCCAATGTGAATTCTGCTTCAGGCTTACTGTCACTGCCATGCTGAATGCTCACAACCACCACTGAGGTGGTGTTTTGAGAGGGAGGGCAAGGAGACTGAAGCTGAGGTTAAACAAATGGTCTGTGGTGACCTACTGTATAAGGATTGGATCTGTGATTTGAACTCACATCTCTTTGCACTTCATTATAATAACTCACATTTATTCTGGGATTGAGGTTTTTTTTTTTTTTTTTTTTTTTTTCTGAATTGCCTCCTACTTCATTCATTAAGTGTGACATCTAGTCTAACCAGATAAGGAAATAACACTTAAAACAATTAATTGGAGACTATCAGAGCTGTGAATGGCACATGCATTTTTAAGGAAAGTTCTGTTCTGAGTAGAAACAAAGTTCATGGAATTTATTCAACCCAGAACAAGACTTAAAACTATTTTGCAGTTGAGGTAAGGATCCTCTGAGAATCAGAGTATTTAGAAATGAGCATGGGCCCATAAGATTATAAGGAAAAAGAAATAATGAAAAGTTTACTGTTCCCCAGATTTTTCACATATCTTCACATCCTTGAAAGAAATCTGTTTCCAAAACTGTAAGCACTTGGCACAGTAGGGCAGATGACTGAATGGTAAGTAAACGAAATACATGCATCACATCTGTCTCCTCTAAACAGCCATGAATCTAGAAGTTATATGGGACATGGTGGGGACATGTTGGAATGCCCAGAGCTAAATCAGACTATTGACTCAAGGTCGTATGGCCCTAAGTTAGAGTCTGGTGAATGTCCCCTGCCATCACAGTGGTTCAAGGTTTTCTGCTGTATGTGAAAGAAAACCTTGTCTCTTTTTCAGTTAGTTCTAGTGCCTGTTTTACTCATTCATTCCACAATGTTTGAGTATCTGCTTTGCGTGTGTACTGCTCTGTGTTAGAATGCTTACTAGATAGAACTACATACCACACACTGTTCTGGGTGCTTTGAAACTTTATTTCATTGGGTCCTTGCCACAGCCTGTAAGGATTGGCATTTTATTATTTTCATTTTACAAATAAGAAAATTAAGGCACTGAAAGATTAACTCAAAAGGACAAAACTAGTTAAATAGCTTGACTTGTAATCGAAACATCTGAATTCATTGCCGATTTTCTATACCATACTGAGTTACGTTTGCTGTTGATCAAACATCTAGCAAAGACAAATGCTTTTTTTTCTATTTTAAGAGTAGAGAAACCAAGGCAGGACTGTTCCAACCAAACACTCATATATCCCTCAAAGCTTGATGAGAGCCATTCTAAAATTTCTGTTCTTTGGGTCAAGAAAAATATTTGTCTGGTTGGTAGAAGACATTGTTTTTTATGAAGAATGATTAGATAACATGACATTTTTTCCCATTTGAATTTTTATAAAAATTTGAGAGTAGGTCTGGAGAGATGGCTCAGTGGGTAAGAGCACTGGCTGCTTTTGAAGAGAACCTGGGTTCAGTTCCCAGCACCCACAGGGCAGCTAAAAACCTCCCATAACTCCAGTTCCAGTGGCTCCGATGCCCTGCTTTGACCTCTGCAGGCACTGCAGGCACAAAGAATTCTTACATACATGCAGACAAAACATTCTCACACATAAAATAAAAATAAAATTTAAAAATTTTAAATATTAAATGACAGCATATTAATATGTTAAGTAAATGGTAGTCCATGGGATCTTGTGGACAAAATTCATGATAATGGGAGTTTATTTACAGCAAGGCTGGATATTGAGTCAATTGTCCAAATGATTGGCTTATGAAGGCCAGATTCGTTTTTTTAAATAATTTTTATTAATTTTTTGTGAATTTCACATAATATATTTCAATCATATTCAGATCCTTTTCCCTATCTGCATCCCCCTTACTACCCCCACCCAATTTCATATATGTATCTTTTTCCTTCTTTGATTTATTTATTTTTATGGGGCTTTGGGCTACTATAACACTCCACCCTCTGAAGAGGTAACCCTAAAATCTTTTAAGGATTAAATACAAACTCCAAAATACTTTCAGCATTTTTGGCCTATGGCAGAGAGTATGTTGCTAAGAGGCCCAGGACCTTTTAACTTTTAGCCCAGAAACTAGCTACTTTCCTGTGGGGTCTTTTTACCCTAACTGCCTAGTCAATTCCTACCTCCTAGTCTTATCAGACCATCTACTGAAGAGGTTACCCAAATTGTCATAGGTAATTGGGTTGTAGATTGTTCTGGCTTCTTCCATGCCGAACAGGAGCACAGAGTGAGGCAACTGGAGTATCCCTTCAGTGGGTCCATCTAAAAGACTCTCAAATTGTACAAGTCTAATCTCTAAGGGGAAAAGAAAGTCCTTGAATCGTAAATAGGAGATGTGAAGGAGAAGTAAAGGCAAGAGTAATTAGCATTACAAGTTCTAGACAGGGAACTAGAAAAAAGTCAGAACAGGGCAATTTTCAAATGTTCATATGAGAGTCCATTGG